GCCAACATTTCTCAACAAGTGATAAGAAAACCACAAGATCTGGGCTTTGCCCCACCAAAGATCTTAATGCTGCAGATATATGTTCTTCACACTCTTTTTCAATTCGTTGATAAAGGCTTCCTCCCATCTTGTGCAGGCAAAGATCGTTGACAGCCTGAAAGAACACCCAATTATCAAGGGGCAATATTACTCACACTGAAAATGGCTATCATAATCAAAATATAAATTTATATATAGAGACAGAGAGAGAAATATGCGAGACTTGCCTGATAGAGCTTCTCCAAGTCACAAGGATCTGGTCGCTTCAGAAATATAGCATTAATGGCTGACTTCAGCTTTGCCCATGTTTCCTCCTCAAAATTCGTAGGCAAAGTCGGTTTTGCTACAAAGAACCAAAACAAGAAGTCAAAATTGTATTTCTAAATATTTCAATGTCTGATTTGCACAAAGAAACAAACCTACTTCAAACCACATTATGATTCCTTGCAAGTAGACTTAGTAATAACAATCACCTACTAACTAAAAGCCATATTTAGTCGTTTGGAAAGATCAGTTAACTGATTATACTTATGCAAGCACACTTCAAATGTGCTTATAAACAAACATATTTCAATTTACAAGGCATAAATGGCACAACTAAATTTTAATTAATTAGTGTTAGCTCAGTATAACAGTAAAAGCAATAAACATAAATTTACCAGTACCAAGATCCTAATATCGAACAAAACATTGAGTTTCTAAAACTCCTCTAATCCCCAATTATTTCCATTCCAAAAATAACCCAACAACCAAAGCCACTCAATTGCTAAGATCAAACTCTCGAATTAACTAAGAAAGAAGGATTTTATTAGAACACCCAAAAAAATAAATTAGACAAAGAAATGAGATCAATTAAAAGGAAACCCAAACCCTTAACGAGCTTGATGACGAGCTTTTTGGCGGGTTGAGGTGGGGTAGCCTTTTTGCGAGACAAATTAGCGGCGGCTGGAGCACGAGCATCGTCGGACTTGGAATCGTCGTCGATGGCCATAGAAGAATAGTCGAAAAAGACGTCGTCGTCGCCTTGGTCGTTGTTGTTGTGGTTGTTAAGGCCGTTCTTATTCGGGTTGAGAGAGCAAGCCATGGCTTGGGACTTGGCTTTCTGCATTGGTGGCTGGAAGTGAGAAGATGAAGAAGAAGAAGCGGCGTTGGAGCTGAGAGAGCGTTTGGTTGGGGGGAGAGACATGAAAGTGATCAACAAAGCATTTTCATTGAATTTTACCTTTCCCTCTTCTTTCTTCTCCCTTTTGATTTCCTTTCTTTACAGTACAGGAAGATATCGAGAAGGCAGCAGCAGAAGATGAACAAAAATGAAATTGGATTGATTTCAGAGAGAAGAAGAGAGAACAACAAAATAGAGAAAATTTTACCCATTGCTGCCTACCTCGACCTCCATGGACTAATTGGGCCATTGTAGTTGGAGTCTTTGATTTTTCTTTAAAGTTGGCTCAGTATACATAGGCCCATTTCAAAAAAAATCAAAATCTAAAATTAATAGAGTTAATTGTAATACACATTCTCAAACTACAGTCCTCATTTTAAATTGGCCCTTAAACTCTTAAACATTTCAATCTCATTCCCAAATTATAACTTATTTTAAATTGATCCTAAAAATTTTGAACATTCAAAATTCATACCCAAACTATGATTCCCATTATATATTAGTCCTCAAACTTTTGAATGTTTCAATTTCATCTCTAAATTTTTTAATGGTTTTTAAAATGTTATTGAAATGTTCAAAAGTTTTAGGACTAATATAGAATAAGAATCATAATTTAGGGGTGAAATTAGAGTGTTCAAAAGTTTAGGGTCTAATTTAAAATGGTATAATGTAACAATTTATCTCTAATGTTTGACAAAATAATTACTTTGGCTCTTATTCTCTTCTAATGTTTTATTTTGAGATAAAAAAAACCCATGTTTGAACAGAAACCGAAACCATTAGTTAACTAATGATCAATGTTTATCGTTGATATGACAAGTTCTATTAGTCCAAAACGACAACATGACATTACTTTAGACATGTGACAACACCACATCATCACTTTGAACATGTGGAATATGCTACGTCATCTCTTTAGACATGTGTTATTTATCACATTATCACTTTGGTCGCGTGCATATGTCATATTGACATTTTATATACGTGACATATGACGTGTCATCACTTTAGATATATAAGACAAGTGATGTTAACACTTTAGACATGTGACATATGTCACATCATTACTATGGATGTATGATATGTGTCACATCAATATTTTGGACATATATGACTTTGTGAGTCAACAATAAGCGTGGATCGTTCGTCAACTAACTATTTTTATCCAACCAATAAATATTTTATCTTAAAATGAAACGTTGAAGACTAAAGTGTTAAAAAAAAGAATAAATTTCAAAGTAACTATTTAACGAAAAGCTATGAATATTTTTTTGCATTAAAAATTAAAGTTATAATTTAAAGATATATGGTATAATTAACTCAAATTAATGTAAAAGTATATATAACCGAATCAAATTATCATTTACGGTAGATTAAAAAACATATCATTTACGGTTCAAAAAATTTACAGTATGTAAAACGAATATCAATTAAAATAAAATTAGATTAATTGACATTCATTATTCATATTTAAACTTGGAAGCTTCGTTTGCTTTTCCACATTTTTGTCGTGCTCTATAACTTGAAAGCCAAGGCATGTTCGATCAGCTTCATGCATGCATATTACAACCACCCTTTGAATTTGATGAGCAAGGAATAGTATTCCAATTATCTTCAATTTTCAACTTTCTCCGTCATGTCACTGTAATTCATTAAGAACACATGACGGAATATAATACTAGGAATAGAATTACTGGAATTTAAGATTATTTAATAGGATATTTTGTTTGATTTATTAGATTGAAATCATGTACGACTTAAAAATTTATATTAAAAGATAAATTTTTAAAATTTTAGGAGATGTAAACTTATAAAATTTTAGGGGTACGAAAATAAATTATCAATATAAAATATAAAGAAAATGTCTACGACATATGATAATTTAAAAATTTGATGGGACGATTACTCTTAATCACTCTAACTTGATTCATCCCTGATCAAAGTATAAATTATATTAGCAATATGAGGTTGTTTAACTAAATTATTTTTATGAAATATTTTTTAAACATGAATAATCTTTAATATTAAATTAATATATATTAGTGTGAAAGTTTATAATAATATATACAAAGATATATGTTTAGAAATAATTACAATAATATTCTTATGTTTATATTTATTTTTAATTAAGTTCTTATTTTATTAAATAAAAATGAGAATATATATATATATATATATATATATATATATATATATATATATGGGTCGGGTTCGAGCTTTTACCCAAAATATCATATAAGTTTTAAGTTGGACGAAATCTTTTTAAATTTGAGTCGTGTCAGACTGTCAGGTGACAAGTGAGGTTTATAATACTTGAATCATATGAATATTATTTTTTAATTAAAATAAAATAATAGAAAAAAAATTATATTGGTTTTTATAATTAAATTAAACTAAAATATTTTTTTATTTATTTAAATTTTATTCGGATTAGATCATAAAAATTACTTAATTCATTAATAGATTTAATTTGTAAAGATTGAATTTATAAAATAATAAATTTTAAAAATAAAATTATCTAAAATGTTATATTTACTGAAAGAAATAAATATAATGACATTATCACTATATTTTCAAAAATATTTATTATCAATAATCTTCATCAACTAAATAATATGGTGAAGTATTATTTTAAAAATTGATATTAAAAAAAGGTAACATAACATTATTCGAACCAAAAATCGAATGAGTAAATTAAAATTCCTACATGGAAGAAGGAAAAACAGTTGACAATTCCTAATATGCGTGCGTTGACCAATACAATTTGACTTTTCTTCCTTCTCAAGCATCAAACGGTTTGACTCGTACTTTCCGTCGAGACTGCATATATATAATTATTTGGTCAAACTCAGTTTTGGTCCCTCTATAATTATAAAACTTGTAATTTAGCCCCAATACTTTAATTTGACATAATTTGGTCATCCCACATTTATAATGTTACTAAGTTTACAATCCTATTATATTAGTAATGCGATTTTATATATATATAAAAACTTTGTTAAATTGGGAGAGCCAGCAGCACTTTGGCCGAACTTTGAGGAGACAAGGAATACTCTTAACTAAGTCGATAGGTACGAGGAAGGTGATACTTGAAATGGATGCCAAGTGAAAGTGAGTGGTTGATTTCTTAAATGGTGATCGAAATGATGAGCTCAACAACAACGTCCTTATGAATGACTGCATCCAACTTGTTCGAGATGGTTGGATCTGCGAGGTTAGGCATACGTTGAGAGAAAGTAACAAGTGTGTGGATTGCTTGGCGAACAAAGCGTTTGACCAAGAAGAAGATCTCATTACTTTGGCTGATCCCCCGAACTTCTTGTTGACTTTGTTAACGGCTGATGCCAAAGGGGGAGGGTGTCTTAAAGCTGCGATTTTAGCTTATATATATATAAACTTTTCATTGAATTAAGCTTTTCTAGTGAAATGCTTAAAAAACATCGCTAAACATCAGTGAATCCAGATTTTAAAAATAATTTAAGTTAAAATCAGTATGTTTATATGTAACATTCATAATTATCTTTTGAATACATGAATTTATTGGATGTATATTTAGTATGAACTTGAAATTCTTAAGGAAATTATGTTAAATTTAAATATAAGGACTAATATCAAATTTTATAATTATAAAGAGACTAAAACCAGAATTTAACCATATTATTTTCACACAATCAACTTGCTCCATCTCTCCAATAAGTGCTCAACCCCACACTCCCTTTCAAACCCTACACTTTCTGCATCTTTTCCCCTATATATAACCATTCTCGATCCCCTTTAGCCCACATTATAAATTGCCGTGTATTTTCAAGCAAATAATTTAGCTTATCTTATTAAGCCAATTCCTTCCTTTTTCTGTGCTTGTGCTCCTTTTCTTCATCAATGGCGGCCACTGCGACTATCTCTCGTAAAGACGTTAAAGTAGTGCTGATCGATACTCAGTACGTGGAAACCGATCCCAGTAGCTTCAAATCCGTGGTTCAAAGGCTTACAGGCAAGGACTGCTGCGTTTCGTGGATAGAGGAGAGCTCGTTTTCCAGTAGGAAAACGGGAACAAATAATGTCGCCGGAAAGGTTGCGGCTGAAGAGTCATACGGATCTGCCGATGTAGGCGGCGGCTTTGATCATGTTTCCATGTTAACGAAGGGTTTATCTTTCAAGGATTTGGATAGGCTGATCTTGGAGGCGCCTTTGTTGGACGAGTTGAACTGGTTGTGGACTGAGTAATTTTTGTATAACATTCTATTCTCGTAATTTTATATATTGTCATTTTTGCAGAGTTGGTTCTTTTATTTATTATTATTTAATCTTTATTCGATCATTTTAAAAGATTGTTATATTTATATAAACATTAGCTTAAAGATTTAGGTCTGAATTAAGTAGTTAAACTTATAAATGAACATTATATAGCTTGATTTTGGAGTTGAGTAGGTTAAATATGCTGGCGTTGGGTTTATGGAAATGACAAATGAGTGGTGCTTGGAGACTCCTCGACTTCACGGCATGCATAAGCAAACACTAGGTCTAGATGCTTGTTCATCGTTTGAAACAAAACTAGTTAGATTATAATTTACGATATTTGATTCGTTTACTCATCAATTTGATTATTAAATATATATATATATTAATATTAGATCAAATTTTGGATTTGTGATTTTTTACAAATTTACAAATCAAATACAAGTCACAAAATCTAACTTAAATTGGTACCCAAATACCCAGTTACCTATTTTTTTTTTAATATTATTACTTTAACAAAACTCACATATTCTATATTCTCAAATTATTTCATCTAAAACCCTAAAACTTTGAGTTTGAATTATGTTGTTTTTTCAAAATTCGAAACTGATTAGTTTATTAATATATATATATATTGTGTATCCTCTTACTCGAACTTATAGATATCAAGGTTTTACGAGTATCCAAGATTCATAGGCAAACACATATCGACTATTTTGGTAGCTTAAAAATCGGCTACCCAACACTTTGGATACCCGTACATACCCATGGATGGTCGTGAGTAAGGTCGGACTGGATTTTTAATTCATCAGAACAAGACCCAAATATAACACTCCCTCCATCTATCATTGACCCGATTTCTAAGGTAAAAACATGCATTTAACCCGATCTAGTACAATTATACACACATATATATTCTCATTTTTATTAAGTAGATTAGGGCCTAATTAAAAAATATAAATAGAGGGATATTATAGCAATAATTCATAAATATATAAAGTTCATTTATACTCTTATTCTTGAGTTACGTTGATTCATATATTTTTCATCATAAACCTGAATTTCATCCAATCTTATCATTCAATAAAGTTGATTCAAACTCAATTTTTTTAAATTTGGTCATATAAAATTGAGTTAGGTCGGTACCCCACGAGTCAAATAACCATTCGTATGCATACCCAATGATAAACACCTCTATCACAATTTATATAAATTCAACTTTAATTGGTGTTGTATGAATCAAGTTATCTTAGTAGTTTAGAGACTAATTGTTATCTCTGGATGTCTTTGAATAGATAATGTCTTGTATTTATCACATATTTATTATAGAGAGTTTACTTATAATTTTTGAAAATTTAAAAGTTTAAATTAAAATATTTAAAACTTTTGAGATTTTAAAAGAATACAAGTTTAAAAGATAATTTAATTAAACTAGACTTAAATTTTTTGAAGTGGTCAAACTATTGATTTTAAAATATTTAATGAGATAAATGTTTATTTAAATAGTTGTTTACAGTTCAATGATAATTCAATATAAAATAATATTGGATAGTTATTTATTAAGAATCCCATTCTTTATTTAATTTTTATTGATTTAATTATTGTTATTTGATTGTATTAAATCAATAATTCATAGCAACGAAAACTAAATAACTTTTTATGAAAACATTCAATTATTTAGTTAAATTATATGCATATTATAATACGAATAAAATAATAAAATGTTTGTTCTCTAATTATAGTTGGATTAGAATTTTTATTCGTCAAATTATATTTCATAGAAACCTATATATACATATAATTTAACTGCCTACTGGTACCACTCAACTTTCGATTGAATCGGTTGAATTTCAAATCTTCAAAACCCTAGTTTCTGCTAAAATTCTATTAATTTGACCATGGCAACTGCATCAGGTACGTTCTCTTTCCCTTCTCCTTCAATTTCTATGTTTCTTTTCTTTTGATTTCAATCAGAGGGATTATTTATCAATTTTATCTAATAATTATTTGTTTGGGTATTTTCAGGAGCGTTTAAATCAAGAAAGGGTCATCGTAAACAACTCGAACTAGAGGAAGCTCGAAAGGCTGGGTTTGCACCGGCGGAGGTTGACTAGGATGGAAAAGAAATTAACCCTCATATTCCACAGTATATGTCATCGGCGCCTTGGTATCTTAACGCTGAAAGACCTAGTTTGAAGCATCAAAAGAAGTGGAAATCAGATCCTAATTATACCAAATCTTGTTACGATAGAGGTGCGAAGAAATTCCAGGCCAAAAGTATCGGAAAGAAGCCTGCGAAAAGTTAGTTAACCTTCCGTTTCTTCTTCTATTATGTTAATCCATACTTGTTCTCGTTTCTTCAGATGCCTTGTTTTGTGTGTCAATGGGGTTCATTTAGATATTATATTGAAGTATCCATGAAATTTTTTTCTTTGTTGAACTTTTGATCAATTTTAGTCATTTGGGATAGGAAAATGAATTAGGATTTTGATTGATAGAGATGGGTTCTTGGCTAATTGAACATAAAGTTATATGTTCTGATTGATTTGGAAAGCTATGAAATCGATGTTATGTTGTCCTAGTAAATGTATTTTCTCTTGTATGAGTGATGGGTCTATTTATTAATGATCAAGTTTGTTGACATGTTGAGATAGAGTTCGCTTAAGACATTTTTTGTGCTAACCATATAGAGCAAGACTAGTGATAGTGCTTGTTAGTGCCACATCAGACAATAGTTGGGCTGTGTTAGCTATTGATATTCTTGTTTTCTTTTAAACAGAAAGGTGTGAAGTTTATCCATGTTTTATGCTTCAAAATCCATAATATTTCCGTAATTTACAATTTTTTGAATTCCTTTTACTTGTTTGTTGTAGCTGTGGAGCCGTGACACATGATGCAAAATCATGTATGGAGAAGCGCCGTAAAATGGGGGCAAAATGGACGAACATGCACATTGCACCGGATGAAAAGAATGGACGAACATGCACATTGCGCACGATGAAAATATAGATACATTTGAACTGGATTATGATGGCAAGAGGGATAGATGGAGTGGTTATGATGCATCTACATATGCTCGTGTCATTCAAAGGTATGAGGCTAGAAGGAAGTATTTGAAGGAACAACAGCTGAAGAAGAGCGATAGATGGAACGGTTATGATGCATCTACATATGCTCATGTCATTTAAAGGTACGGGGCTAGAAGGAAGTATTTGAAGGAACAACAGCTGAAGAAGTTGGAGGAGAAGAATAGTATAAACGATGGAGAGGGTGGAGAGGTTTGACAAAGAAGATCATGATGATTATGCTCTGAAGGTTGATGAAGCTAATGTTGACGAGAGCAAACAGATGGACTTCGCTAAGGTTCAGAAGCGTGTTCGTACCACCTGTGGAGGGAGCACGGGAACTGTAAGGTACGTCTATTACAACCCATTGTTGTATCTTCTTTTATACATTATTTACATATTTTGGTTTTAAAGATCAATGCTTCTTCCGTGCAGTAAAAAACAAGTATTCTCACTTCATATTTGCCTCTCTTTTAGGAATTTGCGTATTTGAGAAGACACGACAAAGTATCATTTGAATCTCGATGTCAACTCAGCTTATTATGATCCCAAGTCTAGATCGATGCGGGAAGATCCCCTTCCTGGTGCTGATCCTACTGAGAAGTTCTACGGAGTGAGTGCTTTGCAGAAATTTTTTTCCCCATAAATTGTTTTCTTATTTTTATGTAATAAAGTTGATTAATCATGCAATTCTGACTTGTTTACGTGTTACCTTGCAGGGTGATAATGCATACAGACAGAGTGGCCAAGCATTAGAGTTCAAGAAGCTTAATATTCTCGCATGGGAAGCATTTGATAAAGGCCAAGATATTCATATGCAGGCCGCTCCATCCCAAGCTGAACTTCTCTTCAGGAATTATAAGGTCATTAAAGAGAAGTTAAAATCAAAGACTAAGGATGAAATCATGGAGAAGTATGGGAATGCAGCAACTAAAGAAGAGATCCCAATGGAGCTTCTATTGGGACAAAGTGAGTGGTAAGTTGAGTATGATCGTGCTGGAAGGATTATAAAGGGAATGGTATGCATGACTATAAATTTCTGCTATTTCTAGTTAATTTGAGGTGTTATTTTGTTCTTCTTGCTAAAGGTGCCATGATTTCTTCATGCTTTTGGTAATGTTAGGATGCATGCCAGTATATGGAAACTGTACCGAGTGCTATTGACTTTTAAAAACAAGAGACTTCTGGAAAATATTGGAGTACATGTTATCTTGGTCTCTCTTTTTTCCTCTTTATTTTATTATTTAAGTTTTAGTTTTGTTTGCAACTTGTTTGAAATAATCTTCTTAGTTAGCTGCTTCTTGTCCCTGTACTTTGGAGAATTTGCTGCTTTTATACAGTTGTGTACTGAAACGACCTTGTGCTTATGTTTAATGCAATGTTTTATCTGATAGGAGGAGAAAGATGAAAGAAAACGGAAGTAGAACGTTAGATGGAACGATGAGGTTACTGCTGAGGAAATGGAGGCGTACATGATGAAGTGGGTACACCACGGAGACCCAATGAAGGATTTCTTAAATTGAAAGCCAACTTTGATACAAGGGCATATGAACATCTTACTGTAATTACAAATATTTTCACTAATAAAAGTTTAGTCTCCACTTATTTCTGAAAAGAAAAATATATATATATTGATAAACTCCATAGCCAATAACCATTCATGCTTTTCATTTCTTCCAATCAGCTTATCTTATCATGATAACCTTTTGTTTGCAAACCATCATTTAAATGAATTTGACTACACATTTGCATTGCTTTTTCAAAGTAAAAATCTCCTTGGGGAATTGGGGGGTCAGCTATCTCTTTGCGTAAAATATGATTCTCCGGGCAACATGTTCAGGTATATGTATAAGTTTCATGCATTGAACCTTCAATGATTAATCCCCCTTTTCCCTTCTTCCATTAATATTTGCATAATTTCTT